TTTGGTTTTTATTTTTATACTAGAGGCCCGGTGCATGACATTCGTGCACGGAGGGGGGGATCCCTCAGCCCAGCCTATGCCCTCTTGCAGTCTGGGACCCCGTGGGGGATGTCTGACTGCCAGCTTAGGCCCACTCCTTGTCACCCACTCCCGCCACCGCTGCTGCGCTCACCAGCCGTGAGCCTGGCTTCTGGCTGAGTGGCAGTCCCCCTGTGGGAGCACACTGATCACCAGGGGGCAGCCCCTGGTGATCAGTGTGTGTCATAGCGACTTGTTCTGCTGTTTGGTCTATTTGCATATTAGCCTTTTATTATATAGGACTAGAGGCCCGATGCATGAAAATTCATGCAAGAGTAGGCCTTCCTTCCCCCAGCTGCCAGCACTGGCTTCACTTCAGCACCTGGGACCTGGGCTGCTTCCCTCTGGCCGCCACCAGCAGGTGCCCCGAACATGGGCTGCTTCCCTCCGACCCCAGCTTCGTCCGAAAGAACATCCGGAATGACACCCAGAAGGATGTTTGGTCTAATTAGCATATTACCCTTTTATTATTATAGATTTTTCTAGAGCCCAGCTGACATGGCTCAGCAGTTGAGCATTGACCTATGAACCAGGAGGTCACAATTCAATTCCTGGTCAGGGCACATGCCCCAGTTCATCCCCATGTGGGGAGTGCAGGAGGCAGCTGATCAATGAATTGATGTTTCTATCTCTCTCTCTCCATCTCCCTTTCCCTTTGAAATCAATAAAAAGATATTTAAAAATAAATAAATAAAATATTCTAGAGATAATTTTTAAATGAAAGACATTTTCACAGAGTAAATTTTCATTTCTTAAAGCATCAAACTGGGATATTGAAACGCTGGTGTTCCCAGGAATAGTCTTAGAGGTATAGGAAATTCTTTTAAATTGATTTCAGAGAAGGGGGGGGAGAGGGGGAGAGAGAGAGAGAAACATCAATGATGAGAGAGAATCATTGATCAGCTGCCTCCTGCATGCCCCCTACTAGGAATTGAGCCTGAAACCCAGGCATGTGTCCTGACCCAGAATCGAATCGTGACCTCCTGGTTCATAGGTCGATGCTCAACCATTGAACCACGTCAGCCAGGCCCAACTCTTTGTTTTTGCAAAACACCCTTTAGTCCTTGGTCAGAGGCACTTACATTTTACATACAGGGTATCCCAAAAAGTGCATACATACTTTTAACAGCTGATAGCTCAATTTTGAAAATGAAATGCATTTTAATAAACACTGCCTTTATAATTATTCAACATGTGTGTATACATTTTGGGGGGACACCTTATATTTGCCATCAGAGTGTGTGTGCCTCTGTGCACCCTGCATCCTGTACTTTGCACAATATCATTGATCCTTTCCCACATTCCTACACTTCAACCTAAGGACCATTTTTTAAAATTATGAGTAATTTTTTACAAAATATATTTGTATTGATTTCAGAGAGAGAAAGGGAGAGGGAGAAACATCCATCATCTGCCTCCTACACACCCTGTACTGGGATTGGTCCGGCAACCTGGTCCTGTGCCCTGTTCGGGAATTGAACCGTGACCTCCTGGTTCATGGGATGATGCTCAACCAACTGAGCCACACCAGCCGAGCAAGATAATTTTTAATGGCTGCATCTAAGACCGCTGTGTGGGTGAGCTACCCTCTACCGAACCAGTCCTCTATTGTCTGGTCATTTAAGTCAGTTCTCAGGAAGTAAGTGCACATTCTCAACAGCATGTGTGTCAAACAGACTTGTTTCTTTGTGTGAGCAGAAGCACGTTTACAGACATTTAAGATATTAGACTAACTTGCAAATAAGGAAAGGCTTACCAGCTCACCAGTTACTTTTCATTTACCTACTTCTCACACTGAAAACAATCACATCGGTATTTTCCTAACTGCACACACACTACCTCCCTCAGAAAACCGAATCCGCCCTAAGTAATGAGAAACAAGGGTGCAGACTGAGGGGGTGAGTGATTTTTCCTTCCCAGTTTTTCATGGGTGTGCAATGGCCTTTGTCCTTTTCTCCCCAAAGCCATTCCACCCTCCCTTATTGTATATCAGCTGGTGGCTTTGGTGGGATAGACTGCACTCCAAAAGTTGGTCCTGATTAGTCTAAAGCAGCGGTTCTCAACCTGTGGGTCGCGACCCCTTTGGGGGTCAAACGACCCTTTCACAGGGGTTGCCTAAGACCATCGGAAAACACATATATAATTACATATTGTTTTTGTGATTAATCACTATGCTTTAGTTATGTTCAATTTGTAATAATGAAAATAAATCCTGCATATCAGATATTTACATTATGATTCATAACAGTAGCAAAATTACAGTTATAAAGTAGCAACGAAAATAATTTTATGGTTGGGGGTCACCACAACATGAGGAACTGTATTAAAGGGTCGCGGCATTAGGAAGGTTGAGAACCACTGGTCTAAAGGGATTGCTTTCAAACAAAGCAGAATGTGTCCCTCCTCTAGCAAATTGGGAAATGGGGGGAGGGGTGATGTGTCTACTGGCATTTAGTGTTTAGGGAGCCAGGGATGCAAAAGGGAACCATGCAGAACTATCTGCTCTAAATGCCAGCAGCACCCCTGTAGGAAAACACAGTCTACAATCCATCCAGACAGTCTCATCATCCCTTCCACAGTGATTGGTTCAGGTACCTAGTCTTCAGCCAATCAAACCTTGCCATTCCTCTATACCAGGAGTGGGCAAACTTTTTGACTCGAGGGCCACAATGGGTTCTTAAACTGGACCAGAGGGATGGAACAAAAGAATGGATGGAGTGTTTGTGTGAACTAATATAAATCCAAAGTAAACATCATTACATAAAAGAGTACAGTCTTTTTTTTTTTTTTTAGTTTTATTCATTTCAAATGGGCCGGATCCGGCCTGCGGGCCGTAGTTTGCCCACGACTGCTCTATACTCAGTCCTGGCAACTCAAAACTGACACTTTCTAATTGAAGTGTAATCCTATCTAATAAAAGAGAAACATGGTAATTAGCGTACATCTGCTACCCTTCCCATTGGCTAATCAGGGCGATATGCAAATTAACTGCCAGCCAAGATGGCGGTCAGCAGCCAGGCAGCTTGAAACTAACATGAGGCTTGCTTGTTTCAGTGACGGAGGAAACCAACGTTCCCCGCCTGCCTTGCCGGCCTCTGAGCCTGCAGTTTGAAACATTGTAACAAATATAGAAGCTAAACAAAACCCCAGAAACCTGCTTTCAGCGAGCCGGGATCTCAGAGCTGGTGTTATACATTGTTTCGATTATAGAACCCAAACAAATCAGATACCTGCTTTCAGCAGCGAGGCCTAAGAGCTGGAGCCAGAGCTAAAGCTGACCCAGAATAAAAAAGAAAAGAAAAAAAGGAGCAGTTGGGAGCTTCAGTCACCCGCCTGCCTGAAAACAGCCCTCAGCCCCTCACCCAGACTGGCCAGGCACCCCAGTGGGGACCCCCACCCTGAAGGGTGTGTGACCAGCTGCAAACAGTCATCAGCTCCTCACCCAGGCTGGCCAGGCACCTCAGTTGGGACCCCCACCCTGATCCAGGACACCCTTCAGGGCAAACCAGCCAGCCCCACCCATGCACCAGGCCTCCATCCTATATAGTAAAAGGGTAATATGCCTCCCGGCACCGGGATCAGCGTGACAGGGGGCAGCGCCCAAACCCCCTGATTGCCCTGTGGCTCTGTGTGTGACGGGGGTGGGGCCACAACCTCCTGATCAGCCCTGCTCTGTGCCTGATACGGGGGAGCTCCCCAACCCCTTGATCGCCCTGTGGCTCTGTGTGTGACAGGGTGCAGCGCCCCAACCAGCCCCCCCACCCCCTCCACAGGCCCTGCTCTGTGTGTGACAGGGTAGAGCCATAACCTCCCCATCAGCCCTGCCCTGAGTGTGAGAGTGGCAGCGCCCTAACCCCCTGATTGGCCCTGCTCTGAGCCCAACCAGGGGCTGCACCTAGGGATTGGGCCTGCCCTCTGCCACCCGGGAGCGGGCCTAAGCCAGCAGGTTGTTATCTCCCGAGGGGTCCCAGACTGCGAGAGGGCACAGGCTGGGCTGAGGGACCCCCCTCCCCCCCGAGTGCACAAATTTTTGTGCACCGGGCCTCTAGTCTATAATAATAAAAGTGTAATATGCAAATTGACCGAGTGACTGAACAGCAGTACGGATGACCTTCCGGACGACCATGCTATGACACGCACTGGCGCCAGGCCAGCCAAGGCGGGTGCAATGTGATTGGTTGGGGGGGCACTGACCTTTTACAATATAGATGTTAGCAACATCTTGTACGTGAATTTTGGTGAACATATGCTTATTATTCAGTACATATCTAGTAGTAGAGATAATGTTCTCCTTTAGTAGATACTGCTAAATGGTTTTTCAAAGTAGTTGTGCTAATCTTCACCACCACCAGCAGCAAATGGGAGTTCCTATCGCTCCATATTCTTGTCATCTCTTGTTATTTTTGGTCTTTTTAATTTTGTCATTCAGGTGAGTGCATAGTGATATCTCATTATGGTTTTAACTAGCAATTTTTTAATATATATTTTATTGATTTTTTACAGAAAGGAAGGGAGAGAGATAGAGAGTTAGAAACATCGATCAGCTGCCTCCTGCACATCTCCCACTGGGGATGTGCCCGCAACCCAGGTACCTGCCCTTGACCGGAATCGAACCTGGGACCTTTCAGTCCGCAGGCCGAGGCTCTATCCACTGAGCCAAACCGGTTTCGGCAATTAGCAATTTTCTGAGCTGCATTTCCTGGCTAGTGATGTCAAGCACATCTTAATGTTTTCTTGGTCACTCCTCTTTTGTGACATGAGTACCTATTCATGTCTTTTCCCTATTTTTCTACTGAGTTTTTTTTTTCTTATTAATTTATAAGAGTTTATTACATATTTGGGATAAAAGACCTTTGTCAATTATATGTTTTTCCCACTCTGATATGCCTTTTCACTCTCTCTCTCTCTTTTTTTTTAAAGTTTATAGTTTATTAATCCTCTCATGAAAAATCTGCACAACCATCACAGATAAAGTCACCGAAGAATCTTTACTCCTTCTGTAGTTCAATCTCCAGCTCACTTTTTGCCAGCACCAACATTGGCCTTTGCAGTCCCCCTGACTTTCTTCATTCTGTTCTTGCGTTCCTTTCTCTGTTTTCTTGAGGTCTTCTTCTTCTCATATAGGCCATGTCTTGCAATTCTGTGTTTGGGTTCATTTTTCTTTGTGTAATCCAAGGAATCATAAATCATGCCAAAGCCAGTGGTCTTGCCACCACCAAAGTGGGCTCTGAATCCAAACACAAAGATGACATCAGGTGTGGTCTTACACATTTTGGCTAGTTTTTCCCGGATTTCTGTCTTGGGTACTGTTGCCTTCCCAGGGTGAAGGACATCAATGACCATTTGCTTCCGCTGAAGTAGTCTGTTGGTCATGAACTTCCTGGTCCGGATGGTTACTGTGTCATTCATGATGAAAGTTGGTCTTCAAGCAGCCAGGGAGGAAAAGAGCACCTTTTCACTCTCTTAATGGTGCCATTTGATGACCTGAAATTCCCAATTTTAAGTTAGTCTAATTCAGGGGTTGGCACCATTCTGAAAATGGCCAGATAGTAACTATTTTAGGTTTTGCTAGCCATAAGATCTCTGACACAACTACTCAACTCTGCCACTGAGGTGTGAAAGCAACCATAGGTAATATGTAAACTACTGGGCTTGGCTGCCTTCTGGTAAAACTTTATTTACAAGAACCAAATGGCCAGATTTGGCTTCTGGGCTGTGGTTTGCCAGCCCTTAGTCTGTCAATCCTTCATGGTTAGTGCTTTTTGTATCCTATTTAATAAATTTTTTTCTGCCCATAAATCATGGGGACATCTTACAATAGCCTCTAGAACAGCGGTTCTCAACCTGTGGGTCACGACCCTTTTGGCGGTCGAAGGACCCTTTCACAGGGGTCACCTAAGACCATCGGAAAACACATATATAATTACATATTGTTTCTGTGATTAATCATTATGCTTTAATTATGTTCAATTTGTAACAATGAAAATACATCCTGCATATCAGATATTTACATTACGATTCATAACAGTAGCAAAATTACAGTTATGAAGTAGCAACGAAAATAATTTTATGGTTGGGGGTCACCACAACATGAGGAACTGTATTAAAGGGTCGCGGCATTAGGAAGGTTGAGAACCACTGCTCTAGAATCTTTTAGCTTAGTTTAGGAAGTGAGGCCATCAATACACTCCATCACATGTCTTTATCTGAACAAGATCAATCCCTTTGAGTTCTAGTTTAAGGGTTTTTATCATCAATGGATGTCACATTTTATCAAATACTTCTTTTTGCATCTATTGAGGTGCATGTATTTTTCTTCTTTCTCTTATTAATATGCTGAATTACACTGAATGATTTTGGATTTAACTGACCTTATTGTTGTAGGCAGCCTTTGGGATGACCTAGGATCCCTGCCTCAAGTGTTCATAACCTTGTGTAACACCCTCCCATGAGTATGGGCTGGGCCGTGCTGTTCACTTCTTTGTTTTTTTTTTTTCCCCTTTTCATTGACTTAATTGGGGTGATGCTGGTTAACAAGATTATACAGGTCCCAGGTGCACAATTCCACAACACATCACCAGTGCACCACATTGTGTGTTCACCACCCCAATTTCTATTCACTTTATAATGAATAAAAAATGACAACAATGATGTGATGGGAGGTCACTTCTGAGATTAAGTCATAAAGACTTTAACTCCAATCTATTTGTCTCTCTCTCAGCCCTTGCTCTGGGAAAAGCTCAATACCGTGTAGCAATATTATCTCTGAGCTTACTTTTCCATATCTGTTAAATGGTAATAATAAGACCTATTTCATAGGACTGTTGTGAGCATTAAGTGAAATAATCACTAGTAAGCACTTCATGAATCACTATTGTTATCTTAAGAGTTTAACGCTGTTTTTTTTTTTTTTAATAAATTTTATTGATTTTTTACAGAGAGGAAGGGAGAGAGATAGAGAGTTAGAAACATCGATGAGAGAGAAACATCGATCAGCTGCCTCCTGCACATCTACTGGGGATGTGCCCGCAACCCAGGTACATGCCCTTGACCGGAATCGAACCTGGGACCTTTCAGTCCGCAGGCCGACGCTCTATCCACTGAGCCAAACCGGTTTCGGCTTAACGCTGTTTTTTTAAAGTAGGAATTGAGTTTTATTCATCTTTGAATTCTCTAATACTTATGAAAGGAGTTTTTAGGAGTAAAGAAAGGCAGGTTTAGGGAGTTTTAGGACTTAAGGGGTTCATGGGGGAGAACGGCGGGGCTGCAAAGCTAGGAGCTGCCAAAGGTACACATTCACAGCTTAAAGGGAGAGGAATAAAGAGGAAGGCCACAGGGAATAGAAGAAGAGGGAGCCCCACCCGGGGTTTGAGCTCCGAAGCTGCTCTAGTGACCAATCAGAGGGGATATCAGGACACAAAAAACTGCAGCCTTTATACACCTTAGGAAAGAGGGACTTGGTGGGTCTCTCTCTTTCCCTCCCCATGTGGGATTCTGTGCTTGTTTCCCAATAAATTCCCACCTTTTCCTGTACCACCTTTTGTCTGTGGCTTCATTCTTCGAATCTACCTGGACAAGAACTTGGAAAATCACCTTTGCATCCTGCCCAGAGGAAAAACCACGTGTCCCGGTTTAATTTCTGTGTTTTACTTACAACAAATTACTACTTTGGAATTGACAAATTCAATCTATCTTCATACATGTAAAAAAAACTTCATTGTCTCGGACAAGTCATTTAACTTCTATATCTTCATCTATTAAGTGAAGGCACTAGACTCAGTCTCTGGTATCTTCAAACTCCATTCATTCATTCACTTATCCATTCATTCAACAACTATTTACTGGACTCCAACTACATGTCAGTCTCTGGGATGCAGACATGAGCAGAAGTAATGTGGTCAATGGGAGGAAGACATAAAGTAAATAATCACACAGACAAATCTACAATGACAAACTCGGATGTGAGTCATGAAAGAAAGACTCAGGGAGCCATGAGAGAAAGGGAAGGGGAAACTCGGCCTGATCCAAGGTAAGAGGAAGTTTATAGATGTCATAACCTATGAACTCGGAGCCTGGTGGGAGGACCTTTGCCCTCTAGCTGTCAGACTGAAGTGAGGGATGCCTGCACCAGCAGAATCTCAGAAATCACTCGGCTTGCCCCACCGTCCCTGCCAGCTCCTTGGGTTGTGTGTTCATCCATTTATGACTGGGCAGGGCCAGCATAAGGAGTCCAAGGAGAAGAGAGGACAGACCATCTAAACAGATTTCATCTCCTGATTTTAACGTATGCATTGGAACCACGCAAAGCAAGGCCCCAGATCTCTGCCCAGCACATCTACGATGGGGAGATAATTGCTGGGAATGACTAGTGTGATGTTGTTAATGCCAGATCAGAGGAGGCTGCCAACGCTTGGCTCTTTTCCCCGCATGGCAGCCAAAAACCACAGGTGTCTTAAAGAAAAGAAAGCACAGAGGAGGGTGCTGAATGATCAGGAAGCGTATTAATGCTGAAACCTCAGTCCCTCCCGGCAGATCTCCAGACAGTCAGATCGCCAGCTTTTCCCACTGTTGCCAGGTAATAATGAGGCTCCACGGCTGCACCAGGCTTGGCGGAGGGGGCTCTTATTTCCTGTTGCCCAGTGGCCCCACAGCCCTCTGAAGCCCTTGTCTTGAAAATCTCACGGCTTGCCTTCTCCGTGCTGCCATGTCTGGGCCCAGCATCTGCAGTGCGTCTGCACAAAGCCCAGCGCAGGACAAGCTGGGAGACAAATGATGATTCTCAAGGGCATTTCCTGGTGCCACTTCCACGGGTGAGTTCCCATCTGGAAGCCTGACTTTCAGGCACTGCCTGTTCCCACAGACCTTTCCTGCTACGGAAGGGTTACTCCTGTCCCCGGAATTCACAGTTCTCTCATGGGTGACATAGACCTTGGTCTCTCCTCAGAGTGTCCTGTGGGTGTTGCTTAACCTCCACAGAGCGCACACTGGTATAAACCTTCCTGGAGTCGGACAGTCCCCTGAAGTACAAATATTTACATGTTTCAGGAAAATGCTTCCAGATGAAGTTGCTGCCAATTTCCTGAAACCATCCTGATTGGCTCCTAAGAAGCTGGGAAGCAGGCAGAATTACAAGGACATCCAATGCCCAGCCGGTGTGGCTCAGTGGTTGAGCATCGACCTATGAACCATGAGGTCACGGTTCAATTCCAGTCAGGGCACATGCCTGGGTTGCGGGCTCTGATCGGGCAGGAAACAGCTGATCAATGATTCTCTCTCATCATTGATGCTTCTCTCTCTCTTCCCCTCTCCCTTCCTCTCTGAAATCAATAATATATATATTGATTAAAGGACATACATTGAGCAAGGTTTTTAGACACCTCTTAACCCAGAATCTTCCTTGCCAGCTGGCTTGAGGCCCCTCAAGTCCCTCCAGTGGCCGCACAGAGCCCTTGGCTGGGCTGTGAGGAACCACGCTGAACCTGCAGAACCCTCGTTTCTTCAACGCTAAACACACCCTGAGAGAAACGTCATGGCTGACGTTAATACAAAAGCAGCTCAGATTTTTGTGGGGGTTGTTCATATAAGCAAGGCAGTGTTGGGGGTGGGCAGTGTTGGTGGGGGTGAATGCAGGCAGCTAAATGGCTCTTCAGACAATTTTTCCCTTTGTTTCTGGCTGCCGGCTAGAAGTATGTTTCAATTTTCTCGTCAGCAAGTTAAGCCAGATGCACACATGGAGGATGACAAAGAGGTTAGTACAAAAAGATATTGAAATTAAAAACACGCTTCAGAGATGGCCTTCTGCTCAAATTGCATGGTCGCAGGGAGAATTATAAATCAGAAATGAGGTCAAGTGATGGTGTTGAGTTCAGCTTTGTTTGTCCCTTGATATTATTATGATGCCCAGATGAGAACTATCAGGGGGAAAAGTCTGACCTAAAACATCTGTGCTCCTAACCCATCAGCCACTAAACATCAGTTTTAGGACGGCACCAAAATAAACATCTGGAGGGGAGTAATGCATATACGCAGCGTCTGTCCACTTTTTAATTACATCAATCATTTGCAAAGAAACAGCCTATGCTTGGGGTTCAAGTTTCAAAGAAATGACTACATGCAGAAACCTATTCTCCAAAGCTTGTGCAACTTGTAGGGCAAAGTCTGAGAACCAAGGTTGAATTGGAGCCAGCTAAGACCAAAGTTAGAGCAAGTGACAGACATCCACAGGCCTGCAGGTGAGAGGAAGGCAGTCAGTGATAGGCAGGCCCTGTGCTTTTAATGGGCAGATTGTCCCCCAAATGGTTTTTTAAAAATCCTCACCCAAGATACGTGTGGTTTTTTCCCTATTGATTTAGAGAGAGAGGAAAGGGGTGGGGGGAGCATCGATGTGAGAGAGAAACATCAATTGGTTGCCTCCCATATGTGCCCCAACTGGGGACCAAACCCGCAA